CCCCAAAACCCCAAAACCCCAAAACCCCAAAACCCCTAGGCAAATTTTTGAATAAGAAATATCTGCAATGAAGATTTAGCTGAGAAATATATTCAAAATTTTAGTCAATCATGATTTTATTCATAGTAGCCAATTTTGCAAAGAATTTTTTCTCATTCTTTGTATACAACTTCTCCATACTTTTCTATAGTTAATATGTTTAAAAATTGGTGTTGAGGTAATGGAAGGTTATCCAGATAAAATTTCTCAAAATCTTAACTAAAATCATCTGAAGATAATTCAAATTAAGCATAAAATTAGCTTGGATGTGAGCTCGAGCAAACTTTCAATAGAACCAATCTCTTAATTGCTTACCTCAAGTTGTTTTTAAACCAATGATGAGATCGGCATTTTCTCTATTAGCTAAGTGGTTCAGAGCCTTTAAAAGGTCGAGAACCTGCTGCTTTTCAGCAAGTGGAGAGCACTCGTTATACTTATTCAAAAGCTTGATTAATTTCTCTACTAACAAGTGATTATTTTTGTTAGAGTCATGAGTTCTTCTAGGGATGTCTAGATATCAGTCTTGAGATTATACCTGAAATGATCTTCATGGTTTGGGTAAGGATTTCTGAGTCTTCGATTGATAAGCAGAAGTAAATCCCTTCTTGAACTCCTTGTAAATAATTTTCAGAAGCATCTAATGCAATTTTAAGTATTACTAAATTTAATTCTAAGCTGAAGCATAAACTGCTGCATTGAAATTAGTTTTAACTTCTTTTTACTTGATTTTAAAAATGAAATCTTCTTGAATATAAATTGATAAAACTTCTTTACTGATATGTTTGCTGTGTCTGAAATTAGAAAAATCAAAAATTTAGAGAAGAAGATATTCTTGAAGAAAATTCAGTAGAATTCAGCATAAATACACAAATTTAGCTTTAAGAGATTGGCTGATGATGCTAGTCTTTTAAATTCTAATGGCTTTTGTCGATTATTTGAGGATTCATAAAAATTAGTGATAAATTCATATATGGCAAAGCTTGAAATGTTATTGAAAATCTATCTCCAAAAGGACTGCAAAGATTCAGTACGACTCACCAATTCTGATTAAAATTGAGTAGAACTTAAGTGTCTGTAGTATAGCTGGTTTGTAAGGAAGTCTATGGCTTAGTAAACTGCTTACTTCTCGATATCGGTATTTCTAACAATTTCCTTCAAATATAACTTTGATTTTTTAGGGCAATCTAAGAAATAAGCTGTAAACTTACCAACCAGAAGATTGTTAATGATTCAATATAGGTAATCCCATAAAGGAGACATGGTTTTGGGGAAATACTTAAAGATTTTATTCAATGTTGACTCAAACTGAGACATTTCCACCTATAATGATTACTCTTGAACTCACTTCGTCGAATAAGAAAGTCTTTGGATACAAAAAATCGATAGCTCAATTATTGACAGCCGACATGAGGGAGAAAATGACTCAGAATTCTCTGAGTACATTAAAATGAAAATCCAAATAATACCTCGTCATGTTTGGATTATCATAGTCGATTATATCCCTAGACTGTTATTCCAATTTTTACTCAATTAACTGATCAAATTGGTACAAGATTTCTCCAATAAGTGAGAATAGATCTTCCACAGTATCGCCAATCTCTTCATCAGTTGTAAAAATGTCATTTTCTTCGTCATAAAGCCCCTTGAGTTTGGCTATAAAGTGATAGATCATATTCTTGTGTAGATTTTTCTCTTCCTCCTTCTTGCCTAAATAAATCTTTCGTTTTTGAAATGAGCGTTTTTGGAACCTCTTATTTTCTTAGAGACACCTAAATCTAATCAAGCTGGGGTCACCATGTAATTCTCACGTTTGGAGAGAGGCTCAAAGGTGGGAACTGTAATGAATTTGAGAATCCTGCTCCTTGCAATGCTATCTTCCATTATTGCGCGCAAATTTATCATATAAATTGGGGTTTTGGGGTTTTGGGGTTTTGGGGTTTTGGGG